TACGAGTGATTGAGAGAGAAAGAGAGAGAGTGTCTGAGGATTGAAGATACACATTATTATCGACTAATTTTAACTTTTAATTTTTCTCGACCGTCGATATAAATGTCCCAATTCCCAATAGTTAGCTTATGATGATAAAACTGGAAATGACTTTTAATAAAATTCAAATAATAATATACACGCATGTATCTATAATAATAAAATATCAAAATAACAATAAATCACAAAAATCAATTTTATATCACTATAGCTATTTACATTTTCATACGACTTTTAAAGAATTTTTAACAGTATATATCTGTAACAAACGCGAACATTCAATGGGAGATCCGACGCAGTTGAAAGATAAAAAAAAAAAAAAAAAAAGATCGAAACGTTGGAACATATTGAATCCGGGCATCGAGCCACGCGTCTTGCCCGGCCGTTTATTTTCAGAGAATGGCATTTGCACGGCGGATGCATTAATTAGGAACACGCGTAATGAGATATGCGTGACGTGACGGCCCGGGCTGGGTCGCCGCCGCCGCACAACAGTACACAGCCGGTGGTCCCTCTGGCGGTGTCTCTCCCAAGCGGGAGAGGTCCGTCGGGTGTGCTGGAGAGATATACGCTCCGGGATATGTTACGTATCGCGCCGCGTTGGGGTTAACCGTGATTCTGCCGTGCATCGCCCTCGTCGAGGTACGCCGCCGACGTTCGCCGACGGGGACGGCGGACGGGACGGGTGTGGCGAGCGGCCGGCGCCCGGGGCCGCGAGGATTCGCGCGGGGAGCGCACGAGGGTCACGACGACTCTCCGGAGCACCGCGCGCCCGCGCGCCGTCGCTCGCCTTCCCGTCTCTCTGCCCGTCAGTGACAGCCGTCACTGACCTGTAGAAAAAAAATTCCGAGGCCACGCGTCTCTCTAACGCGGATCCGATCCGCGAGATTCGATCCGCGAGGCCGCTCCCGTCCGGGGCCGCGCGCGAGCGGCACGGCGCGCTGTCGTTCGGACGGAGGCATATGTCGTCTCAAGCACGTCGCGATGCACGACGTGTGACACTTGTTTGCATCTCATTGATATTCGAGCGGGATTCGAGCCGCGAACGCGCAGCTCTCGGCGCTAGCTCGTATAAGAACGTTTACGTTTTTCCCGAGTCGGAAAAACGTAACTGGAAGTCTTCCAGCGTTCCGTAGAGGACAATCCAGTTAATATTTGTTTTCGTTCGCAGGAGGGAGAGGAGTGGCAAGAGGAGAAGGAAGATCTTATGATGCGTCCAGTCGTCGGTTTCTGAAAAACACGACCAACACGATGACTGGAGACGGACTGCGATCGTCGTAATACAATTTTATCTACATCGGGAGTAAGGTACATTTGTTTGATAAGATACTTTTCGAATGCGACGCAACGTGTACCTTGAATTGAAGCATACAAAAATTTATCTTTCTAGATCTGCCTTTTCCTCCATTATGCTGGTTTTGAGAGTATTCACCTCAATTGGAAATCGCTCAATCTCAGTAGATATACTCGTCAATCGTGGACGAATCCCGGATATATTTTTTGCAAAGGCCTGAAAACAAAATGATACTAATAGATTAGCGATGTGCCTTTATCTTCGGTATTTCAATTTTACTATGACAGTAAGTACAATATTAGAAAGAATTTTGACCAGTTAATTTTTAGAAACTACAATATCTTAACGATATCTAACATTCAGTAATGATAAAATCGATATTTTCTTACAGGGAACGTCTTGACACATTTTGAAGGAAAGAGCGTATGTGATAAATATAAATTTGTCAACAGTGCAGCTATACATATACTGAAAGATGGATAGCTCCGAATATGAAATGGTCAGAAACATGACCCTCCTCTTCTTCTTTGAACGACTGATGGACAAGGGCGGTCCGCGTACGTTGCACGACCTGAGCTGCCAGTTCGGGGCTAAGGGATTCACGAAGGAGATGCGTCAGATAGCGGGAGGATCGCAAAGTGGCCTTAAGAAATTTCTAGCGCAGTATCCGGCACTGTTCCTCATCGACGGCGAGTACGTGTCCGTCAACACGTTTCAGCCGGTCGTGGAGGAGGAGAGCGGGAGTAAATCGGGTAAGCGCGACTACGCCCGCGAGGCCGTGGAATACTTCACGAACAAGCTGTTGCAATACGGGGTGGGCACCGAGGTGCCGATCAAGAGCCTCCTGGGTCATCGGTCGCAAGCCTCGCCGGAGGTCAGGCACATATCCGGTCAGCACTACAAGGAATTTCGTGATTTTCTCCTAAAGTACCCCGACGCGTTCGTGATCAGCGAGGATAACGTAGTATTGAAGCAATACGAAGGCATGAAGCCGGAGCCCTTTCGCGAACTGGAGCCAGATATCCCGATAGATCCGGACGTGACGGCGAAGCTGTTGGACTTTTTCTGCGTGTGCATCGAGCAGAAGGGCCCGATTCTCATAGATCAGCTGTTCAGCATGGTCGACGAGAAGTTCTCCCACGAGAGCTGGACGAGCATATTCAAGACGCCGCAGGATCTGTCGACCTTCATAAAGATGTTCCCGGACGCTTTTCACGTGCAGACGAATCTGGTGACGTTGATAGGCCGGCCTAAATCTTCCGTGATGGAACCCGCGGCCGCGAAAACGAAGACCTCGACGAGCGGTGGTCAGCGTAATCAGAGCAACAGCGTGGCTCACACAAACAACGTAGTGCCGATCGTCCCGCCGAGCAAGATCCAGCTCTCTCAGCCGCCTTCAGACCGACCGGAAAACAACGCGACATCGCAACCTAATTCGCTGCAGAACGCAGGCAACACGTCGCCCGCCGTTGAAAGCAATAATAATTCGCCGCCCGTGAGTTTGCAGCAGCAGTCTCTGAAGCAGAGATTCAATACAATTGTTATGAGAACTCTGGCGGATAACACAGAACGCGATCGCAGTCTGCAGACCGCCCAGATGGGCGACGCGTGGAAACTGAAGGTGCTCCAGCAGACCAGGGTGATAGCGACCTCGCGGGAGGGTCTTCAAGTTATAGAGGACATAATAAATCCTCGTAAGCCACCCCCTGACGGCAAGGTGGTCGTCTCCTTCGATTGCGAGGGCATAAATCTTGGTGTCAAGGGACAGCTGACTCTTGTGCAAATCGGTACAATGAGCGGCCAAGCGTATGTGTTCGATTTGGTCACGTGCCCGGGCCTCGTTCAAGCTGGAGGCCTCCAGAAGCTGCTGGAACATCCTAATGTTGTTAAGGTAAAAAATGCTATAACAAATAGAAACACATAAACAAAAGATAATCAATATACAAAGACAGCTACTTCAAGCGTATAAACTTGTGTTGTATTTTTGCAGGTGATTCACGATTGTAGAAATGACAGTGTCAATTTATACAATCAATTTAAGATAACTTTAACGAAAGTTTTTGACACGCAGGTATTTAATATTCTTTGTGCTTTTTTTTTTTTTAATAGAAATAATGTATCATTACAATTCTATGAAAATGGTGATATCCTTTACAGGCTGCGCACGCAGTGCTTCAGTTTCAAGAAACCGGGAAGCCTGTGTACAAAGTTAAAAACGTCAATCTGAACACTTTGTGCGATCACTATGGTGCTCCGTGTAATCCGCTGAAGGAACAATTGAAAAATATTTATCGTAAGGATCAACGTTACTGGTCTCGGCGACCGATGACTCGCGACATGCTGATTTACGCGAGCAGCGACGTTTTGAGCCTTGTACCTCAAGTTTATAACGCTATGTCTAAGTATGGTTTTCGCTATTTCTCTCGTAAGCAATGGATTCTTATGAATAGTGGACTAGTACAGATTAATAACAATGTTGTTTATATTATTTACAGACTTATAAAGCCGGAAATGCAAGGTCTTTTTGCTGAGCTGTGCGAGGAACAGATTCAGATGCACATAAAACCGTCGGACGTGAAAGCGCGTAAGAAGCAGCGGAAGGTCGAGACCGAGGTGGCGGATCTGAAAAAGCGAATGGAAGAAGCTACGTGTAAAAATATCGTACTGAGTAATCGTGAAATTCGGCTTCTTCGCTACTTGGATCTTACCGAAGACGAGAAGGAAAAGCTCAAGGGAAGTTATAAAGTTGCTAGAAAATTGGAGAAGCTGGAGAATATGGGCCAGGATAAGGCCGATAGCAGCGACGACGACGACGAGGATAAAACGGACGATCATGAGTATCAGAGCTTGGAGAGCTACACATCGGAAAATTCTCACTCTGGTAAAATATCAAAATAACATTTTAAGTTAAAATATTAGCTAAAAATTATATATGTGCATACATTAAAAAAAATTAAATTAATTAAAATATAAATACATTGGCTTACTCTTGTCAATGAATAGCAGTTCAGTGTAATAAACATAATTTAACGATTTAAAAATCGATTTCTAGGTGGCATATTGTCGCCACGGAACGCCGACACTCCAAGTCTGACCGAGTCGATGCAAATGATGGACGAAATACTTTCGGACGGTCGGATGGACAAGCTGGAGAAGATTGAGAAACTGGAAGCCATACTGTCAGCTGTTACTAGCTCCGCGACCGATCAGCTTTCCGCCAACAATGCGGACGCGTCGCCTATCAAGTGCGTCTGCATGTGTCAGGACGAGAAGACCGACAGTCCGCGGACGGATCGCCAGGCTGCTGGAATTAGTGTGGCTTGCCAAACGCTTAGCACAGGTGATATAGTATTTACTAGAGTCTTTGTCAGCGAAGAGGAAAAAGAGAGAGTAAGATTATTGAATTCGCCAAAAAAGTAGGTATTACAGCTGCTGTGAAAGTAGTAGAAAAGTTGCCATTTATAGGTTTTTTTATAAAAAAAAAAAAAAAGAAACGGAACGCGATTTCATAAAAGAATTAAGTAGTTGAAATTTATCTATTTTATGTAATATATAACAAGATTTACAGAGAACTGGCGAAACTCACAGTTTTCTCTGACTTGTCTGCTCCTTTAAAATAAAAAAAAGTGTCTTAAATGGATAGGCCTTGTTATACATGCCTTTCCTGATCTGACGGTGTAATGATCAGATTTTTGGAAAAAGGTTATTGATTTTAATATGAGGATATCATACATTTATTATTCGCTTGAAGATTATCTTTCTTTTACGAAAGATCATTTCATTTAAGAAAGATCGAATCGTTTAACAAAAGTAGTAGTAACAAGATACAAGCACGAACAAGGTTTTAATAGCCGCAAATTTTGTGATTTTTAACATACGACCTGCGGCTCTTTACGTTTGAGTCTGGATTATGTTGCTAAAGATTTCTTTTAAAACGTTGTCTTTTTTATCTAGACAAAAAATGTATACATATGTACAAATAACGACAGAGGAGAATCATGCTGTTTATAAAATTAAGGGTAACGATTGTTGACGCTTTTAAATAGCGTTGCGAAATTAACAGAATGCATATCTCATATGCTTGCGAAACACCTTTTTATGTGAAGTACTGCATTAAAATCGCTAATTTTTGAGTTTCGTATGGCGTAGTTTTGTGTCACTTGTCGGAAGGGACGAATTACCGGCAGTAATAGAGCATAACAGCGGCTACAAATAAACGCTTTTTTCCTACAGGATTTAAGCTTATTGCACGTGAAGTAGACTTTATATGCAGACCTCTTCCTTACATCGATTACAGATACAACTTATTTTCGTATATAGCTATACAAGTGCCAATTTAATATAGAATATGTACAATAAACGGATTAATACATTTTATATTTCTATTTAATTACCGTGCTTGATGAATAATTATGTTCGCACTTCCAATGAACGATTAATAATCTGATAGTATTAAATAAGGTAAAACGCATCATGTATTCGTGCCGCATAGATCTGCATTTATACTCTTCTAATAACATATCATTAATAAGTAAAACTGCCAGAGCGGGGGAAGTGACGATTTTAAGAGACCTAAAATAAATCATTGTTGTAAATTGTCAGTGTTTTTAGTGCAATACTTTACACGCGTGGACAGATAATTATACATTTAATATATCAATCATGTAATTCTTTTTTTTTAACATTAAAAGTGTACTGTGATGATATATAACCGAAAGACAAATTATGTAAGCGAATCATTGACACATTCTCATTTATTATCAATCGAGAGGCTCAACTAGTATCAAATTGTTCGTCTGTCTCGTATATACTATTCATAAAGTACACTAGAAGCTATTATGGTGTATATATATATACACACGTTTCTTTGATCTAATCAAAACGCCGACTACTAGCAATATTTTTTATAAAATTCTTGAGAATGTGAGACAAGTACATCAGGTGTTGTCAAGTATTTTCACGTAGACGTTTGATTATTATGTTTCGTTATGTAGAATTAGAATGGAAAATGATAAGAAGATGATACTTATGTGGAGGCATCCTTCTCGCCGGATGATGCGTAACTGCGTTGTTACTAGAAAGTGCAATTTAGTTCATCGCAGAAATACAATTCGGTACTCGAATTATTATTCCGACGGTTATTTGCGTGCGTTTATCAGATCGGAATAATTTTGCACGCGCGGTGTTTGCTGAACGCGAATATTCCTCGATATACGAAAATTCTATTTGTGAGATATTCTTGCGATCTATACATAAATTATATTTAGGACGAAAATTCAACGAGAAATTATCTCTTGTGAGAATATAAAACAATCATGCATCCTTAGGCTTGGGTTTAATTTTTATTCATGTTACGGTCTCTTTTAGATACCTTCTTCTTAATTCTCTAATATATGCTATAATACAAATTTTTATAAATATATAATATCAATTATATATTTATAAATTTTACACGCGTATACAAATTTCTCTATATATTGATAATCATCCATTATTTTTATCCCTTGTACTCATATATTGACTTTGGGATAACTGCCTATGGGATTATTACGAATTTTAATCAAATTAATTCTTGTTAACTTAAATTATTAATGATTTGTTAATCGTGGATTCAATAAATATGAAAAATTATACATTACTTTTATTTTTAGGAAATTAATGATACAATGAACTCATGAGTTCATAAACGAGATGAATGCTAAGGATTAACAAAAAAAATTGTACAGTATTTGGTTGATAATAATATAGTTTGCAGATTTATTGATTGGCTCGCTGCTTGATAATCACACCCTGATTTTCAGAAAAGAAAATATCTTAATGCCATTTTCTTTATTTATTAATGTACATTTTTCTTTTCTAATTATCTGGGTGATTCCGGGGTCTCGACTTTTACCAGCGATATTGTTAAATAGACTACAAAGATATCATGTGAATTATTTTATAACGCATTTATTACATATTCAAGGCAAATAGTAATTATACTAAAAAAGAAGAAACATCACAAAAATATTTATACGAAAGAATGCTGATCCATATAATTATTAACAATGACTAATTCGTTGCATACAAATGCGAAATAAAGTCTAAAACGGATATACGTAATAAAGAATTACAAAAAAATATTACAAAAAAAAGATTGATATGTGCATTTATTTTGTTTATACACCATCCATTTCTAGCTATTTAGCTAAATATATTCCACTACATTTATATCTGCGTACATAGAGTGTTCTAAAAGGAGAAAAAACATAACAAAAATATTTGATGTATTATTTTGTATTTTAATTGCTGAAAATTGATATCTACAGACAAAAGTTGCATATTATTTTTAAAAACATTCTTAAAAACGATAAAATGTATGATTAGAATGAATAGTCTGAAAGTATTAAATATCTTTATAATGATATTGCCATTAAATCTTACAAATTTCCATATATATATTTAGAAGGTATATATATATATATATATATATACATATATATATATATAATAGTCTTTATCTGCAAGATATAATACAATATAATTATCAGTTTTATTTCAAATTATTAATTGAATGACACAAATTATTTTCCTGAAGTTAATATCAAAGTTAATGTATCAAGATTATAGTTGTGTACATGCACCTAACACAAATACTACTACATACACGCCAAATGTCATCAAAATTTTGGATAATGGAGTATAATTTGTTTAGGTATAATAATTTTCTTATATGGCTTAATATATGTGTCCATTGTAGTTAAAAATAACTATACGCATAACAATATATATTAAAAACAGAGACGAACATATACAAAGTACAATAATTAATAAAAATAAACGAAAAAAATATTCTTACATATTTTATTGTATATGTTCATATAAACACGTACGTTTTTCGTGTTTCACTTCAAGCTCGCGTTTTTATTAAATTTTAAATTCTTAAATTGAAAATTGTTAAATTGAATATTTTTGAATATAATTGTTGAATTGTTAAATTGAAAATTTGTTAATTGAAGCGGCGTCTTTGCACTCTAGAAGTTCCTTTTGTTTGCAATTGTATTTTGGCCAATGACTTGTCATGTACAAGACGGTCGTCTGCAATGCAAGGTATAGATATCTAAACTGAGATAGATACATAATTTGACGTTGCAGAGACAAAGAGAGTATACCTGCGCTATTTTACACTATAATTATTTACGTTTAAAAAAAATAAGCGTACACTTAGATAAAGTTAGATAAAAACGTCAAAGAATAATTAGTCTGCAACGTATGCAGTTCTGTCAAATACGTTTTGAAGATTTAACATAAAAAAACTCCATTAATGATGGACTTTAATACTGCATCCGTTGATAATGTAAGTATAATGTCATTTTTTAAATTTACTCTCTCGCGTTTTCTTTTTACGTAATATCTTACTTTTTAAAGCTGTATACGTATTACAACTTTTAAAATATCCAGATGTTTGTGAAAAATCGGCATGTACGTTATTTTGCCACGTTAATTCTATCACTTAATTTTTATAAAACTGCAATTAATGGAAATTATATTTATTAGAAAAAGAAAATGCGTGTTGTATTCCTGGTGAAAATTTTTCTTTGAATTCTTTATGTAATTTTTCAGAATTTTCATATAAATTTAAAATTTTTTTTAAATTTCTATATAATTTTATAATTTTTTAAAAAATTCCTTACATCTTTTTTTGTGTGAATTGAAACACTTTTCAAGTGTTGCGAAAGTCCTGCTGCATATAATCATCTTTCATGCACGTGAATTTTGAAATATTCTAGGATTTATAATTCTCATTCTATAATTTCGAAGAAAATCTTATAAAATGTAAAGTTTATATTTTTTTTCAAAAATCTTCATAAATTTAAAATGTAACAAATTCTTAAAAATACGAAATAATTAAAATTTATAAGAATTTTTTTGAGATCAAGGATGCAGCGTTCTATTCGTGTCCAATACACATACATATAATACATGTACATTATGAAACACGGTCGTATTCGGCGCTAAAGAAGCGTGTGTCGGAACATATATACACTGATATACACGCCATCACGCGCAATGGCCGGAATCAGCCGGAATGGCCCGCAAGTGTTTTTACACATTATTCCATAATTATCACTCACAAAATTTTCCTTGTGAGAACGCAATATGTTAAACGTCACATTTCTAACACGTGTAACAAAAATACAGTTGTACTTACATACAACATTCAAGAGAAATGATAAATCACGCGAGATAACCTTTTCGTATTGTGCACATCATGTTCGAAAGAGGCTGTCACACTCGTCTCCACCCGGTGGTCCCTGGAATGTATTGTTTTTCGGCACGGATGGCTTTTCTGTGGAAAGCTTACGAAGATTATATGACGAGTAGTTAGTACCAGCTTTATCGGTAATTTATTTGTAAATTTTGCATAGTAGGTAACTAAATATCACAACGAAAAAATGTGTAAACATATTAAAATGTGTGCTAAAATGTTCTCTACAGTAGAGCCAAGAAACTCGACCGACTGGAAATCGTAACGGTATGTAGAACGGAAAAGAATGCTGTCGTGCAGTATGCGGAGGAGAAGGGAATCATTGTTAATCAATGGCCTCTCGAAAAGGATCCATCGGATTTTCATATCGGGATAGTTTCTTCCTTTGGCCATCTGATACCATTAAATATTATAAATTCTTTCCCACTGTAAGTCATTTTATTCATCTACAACATGTCCATGCCTATAAACATATAGATTGTATAATACGCAATTAATATATCTATCTTTTGTCACAGCGGTATGTTAAACGTTCATCTTAGTCTATTGCCACGATGGAGAGGAGCAGCTCCACACATTTATTCCATAATGAAGGGCGACACGCAGACGGGTGTTACAATCATGAAAGTGGCCGAAAAGTAAAGTCTTTTTAAAAAATTGTTTCTTAAAGTATTTAAGCTGAGAGGTGAAGTGCCAGAGTATATATATCATATCCTTTAAAAGTGACACAATTAAAAAAAATTAAGTTTCTCAGACTTTTAATGATCGCTAATGTTTCTTTAACTTATAATGACTTGGAAATTATCTTTTTTTTCATTGTGTCACTTTCAAAGCAAGGCGCGATATTTATACAGTTTGTTTTTCTCTGGCACAAAAGATCTTATAAATATTGTACATATTTTTTTTTCAATTATTTGATTGATAAAGAAATGTCAAGAGCCATTTATATCCAAGTTTTATTGGTAGAAGAATGAATATTATAATCTTAATAATCTATCTGAATTGCACAGTTCAAATTGACAGACAGTTCATTACTTTTATGTTACTGCAGGTTTGATACTGGAGATATAGTAACACAGGAAAAGATAGATATTCATGCAGATGAAACTTCACCAGAATTGGGAATGAGGTTAGCAAAGCTGGGTGCGAATGTTCTGATCGACGTGATAGGAAAGTTGCCACAAGTATTATCTTCCTCGAGGCCTCAGGGAAAGATAGGTGTAACATATGGTAAATTCGTCTTTGTTGCTGCACCGTCTCTAAGCGACAAAATACATCAGTGTTTCAACTACTTAAATTATTTCACTGACATTCATCTTGATGATTACACTTTGTAGCACCTAAAATTACATCAAAAACCTCTTTAGTGAATTGGGACGAGATGACGGCGAAGAATGTTTATGATCTGCAGCGTGCTCTTCTAGGATTGTACCCGTTAAAAACCAAGTTTGATGACACGTATATAAAACTGCGGGATGTCCGGCAGGTGTCGAAACCGGAAGGTAGAAGTGCGGACGTACCAGGTAATTAATCATTATTCCTGCATGATTTCGCTGTGATACTAAGTTAGTACCAAGGATTGAAAACAGGATTATTCCTAGGAAGAAAATGTAATTATTGCATGTATGAAGATGAAATGTGCGTGATTAATTTGAAAACCCCTTCCAGGTTTTGCGAGATTTGATTGGAAAGACAACGTATTAGTTGTGACATGTAAAGGACCAAGTTGGATCTCAGTAGCGAGAGTAACTATGGACGGTTATAAAGTTATGAGTGCAAAGGATTTTATGAATGGATTTGTACGAGGCAGAAAGAAAAACAGAATATTATTTCAGAGTAATATTACATAATCTACAGCGCTGCTTCTGACTCCAACGCTGTTCTTTTGTAAACCTATGACAATTTCATTTAGATAATGAACATTAAATTTTTATTTACTACAATAGTAAAATTGTAACTTAGAATGTACAAAATGTAATATTGACGCAATGACTGTCGTTAAAATAAAAAGAATATAAATTTATCGTATGTTAATGTTTCTTTAAATGTTGGATATGATGAAATTCCTTTCATTAATTTTTGATAATTTTGCCTTTGAAATAGTATCATACAATGATCTCGTGCGAAAATATTCTTTTGTATATTCTTTTATTTCTTGCTATAATAATTTATTTAATATCTTTTTCGTAGAATTGCTATATAAAACTACAAAGCAGTACGAAAAAGTAAAAGAAATAACGAGAAATAAGTAGCGCGAACTATGCTAAGAGTCAAATAAATCAGTTTTAAGTGGAATTATAATAAATTTTCATAGAATTCATAAAATTTTTCTTTCTAAATTACAGCAAATTTTCTCTCTTCTGTATTCTCGTATCTTACAAAAAAAAAAAACTGAATAACACTGAGTGCCTTATTTATATAAACGTAGAATTGGAGCTGCAGATAGAAAATTGTTGATATTAAGTCTCAGTTTCAGAGGCCTGAAATGAAAGAAATATTTTTACTATAAAAATCACTTTCTTTTATTACATTTAATGTGCCAATGATGTATATCCACATTGACAATATTAAGCGGAAGACACAAAATGGAGTTCAGAATGCTTCAAGACATTATTCTAGCTTGCTGCACATCACAAAATTACAAAATAAAAATAAATATAATAATTTAATTTACATTAGACAAAAAAATTTTCCGTTCCTATTCCCCTGTAATATTAACTTTTTGCATTCTCATAACACGACGTATCTATCTTTTCTGTTTGATTCACCTCGTGAAATCAGCTCAGTCGATCATTACTCATGTACACATTTCAGATTAAAGTACTTTATATTTTGTCAGATCTAGTTTATTGTCTCTATTAGTTGTCTATGTATGTGCAATTATTCTGATTTTATTATTCGTTCTTCTAAGTATTACACGCTGGATAGAAAAAGATAACAAAATTACTGTCTATTATAAAAAATAACTTCTTTACATTCTACTGTTTGTTAAAAATTATTAAAAATCTCTCTTTCTTTATATATATATATATATATAAACAAAATATAAAGTACGTCAATCTAATATTAAAAAATATGGATGTTTATGAACAGTAAAAATTTATGAACTTACACTAGGGTCGCAGTCGGCACAGTGCCACGAATAGCCTCTCCTTTTCGGAGACTTTTTCACAGGAGGATCTAAGCACGTAAAGTGATAGCATTTCTTACATTCGTCACACCTGGAATAAATACAAATATTATAGTTAAATGCGCATCATAAAGAGTCATTATAGTGATGTCTCTAAATTATAATTTGGAGCGCCTACAATTTTAAAGATTTCAGTTATCATTTATCGTAATTCGTAATACTAACATAACGAGATTTTGATTGGTGCCGGGAGTATCACAGACGTTACACTGCGTCATAAGGTCCGTATCTTTCCCTCTCTTCGTTCCCGTCGACAGTCGACCACTGCTGTTCACGGATACATTCACTGGAGGTACGTTTACAGCCGGGGGTGGCGCAGGCGGTGGCGGCAATGTAATTTCAGTGCTCGAAGTGGCCACGAACATTTGCGGGCTCGATTCCGAGTCCGTGTGTCCTTCCGGCCGACGAATTGGTTTTATCTGCATTCGATTAATTGACGTTATTAACATATCAAATCAATGTTGTGATGAAATAAAGCGGATAAATAATAGTTACTTTTATTGTAATCCTTCTATGGACCTCCGGAACTTGGCTTTGAACTTCTGGATTCTCTATATCTAAACTTTTCCTTTTATGCTTTCTTTTTCTCTGTTTGATTCCAGTTATCGGATCCGGGGAGTATCTCTTATGCTTTTCCCTAAAAAATATTCATACATTAAATAATTTGCTATTCGATTTTTACGATAAACATATATAAATTATTTCTTCGGATCGTTTCGCACCTTCTTCTTTTTTTCCCACTTCTTTGAGAGACCACTTCCGTTCCATCCGCTGACGCTACCATGTATTCCGGTGAACCTTCTCTTACGGTGATATTATTAACCGATTGTTGATTGTACATCGACTCGGATGGTTGTGTAGGTTCTACGGTTGGCGGTTGCGGTCCCATTGGTTTAATAGTTAGCTGTGGAAATATATTCTCTTATGTATATACTGACGCCAAAACTAAATTTTCATTTATTTGTATCAATTATTATAAGATAATCACCTTTGGCGTTGTATGCGTGTCAGGAGTCGTAACGTTTGTTACGTTACTCGCAGAATTTTTCGACGTAGTAGGCGTGTTTGGTGTCATGGCTGCTTGCGCTTCCTGCGGCGGTGTAGGTGTCGAATTAGCCTCATCCTTACAATGCCTCAACTTGCGCGGTGCCGATGTATCCACGCGTTCCACTTCCGATCCCGAGGATTCCTTGTCACACTCGGAACACTGCCTGCAAATTACAGCATTAAAAAAATTTAATAAAATAATTGAAATCATTCAGTTATTTCAAGTTTTTTTTTGTGTTTTCATACGTACCATCCCATTTGTCTTGTTTTCTTGGGCATCCGCGCCAAAGGTGGACTCAGACAGGATAGATGATAGTGCAAATGACATGTGTCGCATTTAGCCAGAAGATGTTGGTTAGTGGACCGTCTGCAGATGCCGCATTGGTGCCGCAACGTCGTCAGCTCGGTCTTGTGATTCTGTTCCTGCGCCTGGCTGCTCAACACTCTACCCTCGCGTATACCCATGGGGAGCGGAAATCCAACGCCCATCTTCAAGGCGGCCGCCGTAGGCACGCCTAATCCGGTGCCTACGAAAAACTCTGTGTATTCATTCCGTTTAAAGCGTTTTAGAGAGCGTTACAACACAACTTACCGAGAGTGGGTGCTATTCTTGGCTTCACCAGATCGACGATCGATGGCAGAGGCTTCGCGAAACCGGCGCTTTTAAGTACTTGATGATACAACTCGATCTTCTCCTTCAACGTCACGTTCACCCTGATCTGCTCCTCGTTATCCTTCATCACTTCGTCGTACTTTCTGTCGAGTCTCTGTTGCTCGTTCAACAGCTGCGAATTGACGTCGAGAAGTTCTTGCAATCGTCTCTTCATTGACGTCACGCGTAAGTTGCGGTCCAAGTAATAACCAATAAATTCTACGCTGAAAGCGGGAGCGATATGCCATTTCTTTCTAACGTCGACCAATGCCACCAGCTGGGACTCCTGCGCCTCCAGCGCGGCCGTGTCTACGCCCATTAATTCGGCCTTACGTGCCAGTTGACGGCAAGCGGAGGCAGATGTAGTTAGTAAACGTGGCATCTTTTGCGTAGGCACTGCAATTGTTAGGCATTTAGAGACATGTACCTAATAATAAACATTCGAAAGGAAATATCAATTTACCCCATGGCGGCGGACGCGACGCTTTGTGAGCTAAATACTTGTGCCTGTGCTTGGCCAACTTTCGTTGAATCCTACGTTGGTCGTCCGTGTCCAAGTGATTAGGCTGCTTCAACATCTGTTGCCGGTACTGCGCGCGCATTTGTAAAGCTAGCCAATTACGCCTACGTCTGCGAACGAGGGATTTGTCGGAGTGCAATTTGCAATGTGCATAGAATGGATCGGCTTGATCGACTTCCTCGCTGTGTGCCTCGGACAGTAAACCCTCTCTTTGCGCACTGCAAAAAGTAAACGTCTCGTATTTTATATCTTTTCTCGCAAAAACTCTCCGGCAAGTAAGAGTATTCAGGTATTCTCCAAAAGTAAAGTGAGTTAAAAGTATTACCAGGTTACGTGAAAATATGTATGACACATCCCGGCATCGCATTCGATGCACACGCCTGTGCGCGCGTAACACGAGTCCTCGCACAAAGAGCATGTCTTCGCACCCCATTTACTGTATGCCATTTCGAATAGTGTTACGCTCGATAAACGATCGACCTAAGATACAAGCATATTTAAATTTCGATAAATATTTACAAATATAAAAAATTAAATGCGAAACACATAATCCGAGAAATTACGTACTTCGCCGAAAGCAACACCGGGCACATAAAGAGCACACACTAAATGGACCCATTTTCCAACGTCTGTCTCTTTAAAAATTCCACCCTTGTTAGGACAGAGCTCGCACGATGGGTCTTCGATTCCTGCGCTACAAGCTTCGCAGAACCATGGCGCAGACTGGCACAAGGAGTCGGTACTGGAGAAACTTTCCACGTCAGATACACCGTAACATCCTAAAATTTAATTTAAATTTTTACGTATTTGTAAAACGTGTATAGAAATTAAAAAAAAAACAAATGTACTAATAGTTTAAATTAACATACCTTCGTGAACGCTGACTCCACAGCCATCGCATTCGACAATCTCATTTATATCGTCACTCCTGTCTCCTAAGCAACCACAGCAGATTAGCACTTTATTTAGTTTGTCATCAAGAGGAGCACCCTTCAAAGCCTGTTGGCGAGCTTGTTCGATCAGATCTCCTACAGTCAAGCTGGTACCATCTTTCCTTCTCAATAATGGATCTCCCAATGAATCGTCGGATTCTTCAGATGCATCTGCCTCTTCTTCTCGAAAAAAAAAAGTTGTTAAACAACTACTGTTTACCAGATCACTATTACTGCAAATAAATTTCTTTATTCTTTATATATTCTCTTTATCTTTACAACATAACCAATTTTCACAATATTTTGCAGTATTCTTTTGCGTATATTATAATTTGCTTTTGCAATACTTTTTATGTTTCTTCTTATCATTAATACATAAAAATAATATGTAACATGATTTCATACTCGCAGAGCACCAACAGCTTACCTTTCGCATCGTGAGAATCTACAGAATCATCGTCCGACTCCTCGCAATGATCCTCGATCCTAAAATCGCTGTCATCCGAGCTCTCACCGAGATCAAAGTCAAGCAGAGAATGATGATGCGCCGAATCAACCGGTTTTACCCTCCTCTTCTTGGGGTCTCTTTCAACTGCAAAGAACAAAATTCGATTGAATTTTCTTAAATACACTATCAATAAACGTACTTCATTGCGAAAGTTTTTGTCGATGGACATTTGTGCGGAAACAATATGAGAAATATTTAATAATTGGTAACGCACAGAAACCTATATTCACAATTTTACGCAAAAATAAATATGATACAGGCAATTTTTAGGTTAGAGTCGCTCAATTTCCCTAAACATACATGTGCTGGTCATGATGCTCCTGATATCTCGGGGAAACTTTTATCAAAATCGGAGTACTCCTTCGCGCAACTTATTAGCACGTTTTTACGAGTCTCTTCGGAGTTTTCATCGAATTATTCTAACTTCGTTAACGTCATTTTTCGAGAGAGAGAGAGAGAGAGCCTCCACCGTCAAGAGCACACCACTCGCAAAACACATATATGTCGCGACTACGGCGCGCGTATATTACCGTATAATGCGTTAGGTTAATTTTACGTGTCAGCAAATGAGGTTGGCATAATAATAAAGTAGCTGATTATGGCTATTATCGTGCATTCACAAAGGACAAACCGGCTTGTTATTATCATTAATGCTGACGTAGATTTAATAATGATATCGATTGCAATAATAATGCTAAATGATAGAAACTAACGAATAAACATACATACATATATTCGCACGTAAACGCGCGCGCGCGCGCGCACAAGCACGTATGTATACCGTCCCCATACCGCAGCATAGAAATACAATGGATGTTAATATACTTGTTAGGACATATATAATTTATTACAATGCATTTAGTACATGCATTAATCAAATAATACAACTAATATTGTTTATGTTTGCTTAATAACTTGAGCAATAATTTCGTGATGGCACAATAATAATAGCCGTAACATCATTGAAGTGGAAAAAAAATAGAAGATACAATCTTTTTGATATGACAGAAATGTGCACTTATTGCGTACGAAAACACATGTTTACATAACAGCAAAAAATCCCCCTGATTCACGTTACTCACAAATGTGGTATCTCACTTTATCGAGCCATAAGAAGAAATTGTACGATTACCGATACTCACGTTTAATCACACTGTAATTTATGTATTTACTTTACAAGTGTGTAAATGTTATTCGTTAGGTTTATCTTATCTGTCGCTTTCCACTCGACAGGAAGATCGACTGCTCGTAAAGCAAAGCAATCTTCGCTTTCTTCGCGATTTTCGAAACCGCCAGAGAGTGCAGGCGAGAGAAGAAAACGCCGAAGGGATTCCGAGTACGCGAGCTATTTTGCATTCCATCATTTGACTCCATGGTTGTCTCACTGTCGCGGTCTCGATTGTTCCTCACGACCGTCGTCGCGGCACGACGTGATTTCCATCCGCACGTCTACGGGATCGTAAACGCGGAAATTACCCGCGGGCTCGTACCGGCACAACTTACTCATCGTTTTGTACAGGAATCCGACGTCGTCGTCCTGCGACATTTCCCCCGCTGAATTCCGCACACGAGGTAGAATCCGTAGAACGCGAGACGCGAGCCTATATGAGGTTTCTCGGCCTCCCCTCGGAGTATTTAACGGTCCGTTCAGCCTCCCACGTGGAGGATTCACCGTCTCGTGGGGACAGGTCGAAAGGTTCGCAGGGACACCGAGCGGAGAGGCGGATTCGTTGTATCACCCGGCGTTGATCCTGACCACAACGGCGTCCGTGCGTCCGACGACGCGGCGCCGATGCGCCATGATGTACTTTGCGCGAGTCCTTTCGCGGGAAGTTCAATCTTTCACCTGCCGTGCGCGCGGCGGAAAGATTTGCGCTGATTAACGTTCGTTCCGCATAATAGAAGAGTGATATTATAAAGGACAGTTATAAGGTCCTCGTGCAGCTTTAGACTTTCCATAATTTTATATTCCACACACGATCGATGTATAAAAAAAAGCTAGCATTAGAATTGCAAGTTTAACAGGTACATTATGAGTACGGTCGAGTGTGAGCCCATTAGTCGGATTTTTCTCCATGGAAATTTTTTATTAAGACTATTGTTTATTCAGTAAAAACTACACATTCTTTACGTAATTTGCAGTCTGGAATAATTAATGTGATTTTATAAATAAGCTCGATCTGTTCTTTGTGGTTAAACATATAGTGTACAGTGTATAATATAATTATATATATATATATATATATATATATATATATATACATATATTTAGTAATCGAGAATAACTAAAATTACATTTATTTAGTCCAAATTTATTTACGTCGGAGCCGTTATTACAAATTGAATCCCAGAAATTAATTTTGAAATATGTTTGGCCAGAAATATATATTTAATAATATATGTTTAAATGCATCCATATATAAATTTATCATTAAAATGAATCTATTAAACGTTGGTGCGGCGTACCGATCAGGTATTATAACTTTTTCCCTATGGCGGAAATGCGAAAGGTGAAAAATTTTCTCCATTAACTTCAATGATAAAAAATATATTCATTTTTCACGTTTTCCGCCGTAGGGAAAAAGTCACATGATCGGGGTACCGACGGTACCCCCGTTATTAAAACCTTTGCCGGTGTATTTGTGCCGGCGCTGTTGGCGGCACTGACACGCCGAACTTCGCCGCGCGTCCAAATTTTGGAAGCGAATCGAAAGTAGCCGAACTAGAGGGACACCAAGCCGAACGGCGCCGAAGCGCCATTCGCGTTCGCGGTCGCGACGCGCGATCGACGTGCGATCGACGCGCGACAAGTTTCGCGATTAAAATTGTGCAAAAAAGATGCACGCGCGTTCACTCGTTTACGCGGTTCATTCGTCGTCGAGGCCAGAGAGGCGAGCGAGAGTAAGATCATCGCCGGGACGCCGCGGGTGTCCGGCTCGCGAATGCCGATTTGCGTCGCGTTCCTTCCCTAAGCGTTCGCTAACCCCTTCTACGCAGATATTTGTGTGGAACGCGCGGACCTGCATTAAGTATATATACAGTACACGCTTTATGAAAATTCGAGAGAGATATATATTTCTCTTGCACTCCCTCTCTTTCAGAGCGCTACGAGATTCTAATGTCGATTTCTGATTTTCAGAGAATCTCGCTCGGGACGAATCGAAAACCGACGCCGCCGAGGTGCCATCTTAATTAGCGCCGCGCAAAGCGCGGAGCGCGAGCGTAAACATTTTTCACCGCTGCGCGAGAATTGGGAATTGCGCGAGAGGACAACCGCGGCACGCGGACGATGCGGGATCGAGCTGTTTCCCCCCTTCCCGTAGCCGAGGAACGTCGGAATGGAGACGACTTGGCCCCGCGATGCCCATTTACGCCGAGCTACGACGCGGATTACGTCTCCCAAGTAAGATGACTCTTTGCAGCGCGCACTTGCATTGCACGCGCGCACGACGCGAAAATTGAATCGGGCTGGAGAAACGTATATACGCCACGGAGAGATATTTTTCGCACGAGGAAAGAGAGAGAGAGATTGGCCATTCATTTGAAGAAAGGTATAATACATCGGGCAGGAATCATTTTTGTTATTGCATTTGATCGTTCGCGTTAATTGTCGATACACGTTTATGTTTATTTGCATACACCATGCCGAGCAGGATGCCTTTTACATTATGAATTTAATTGGCCATATATTGCGCATTGTGTTGCATGGTATCATGTATTTTTCATACACGACGTATGGATTATTTAATAATGGTTAATACGTAAATCTGCAGGATATGGAGTATTGGAAATTTTTTTGTACCTCGCTTCTTTCGTGCGTCTCCTCCCCTCTCCGGGGCGTTATTTTTCTCGATTCCGTTTCGATGAGCAATCACGGGGATTTTGATCATATAATTAAATTAAATAATTTAACCTCTTGCACTGAAGTGCCAATTATGTGGTAACATTAGCAGAACATTCTACTCATCGCGCGTGCATTGGAGAATGATTAATTGCAATAATACATTTTAATTAAATACAAATTGTTACATTTTAATTCTCTCTTCATGTTGTAATAAATTATATCTTTGCTATACTATAAAAGAGCTGATATATCATTCTCGTATTTAAAAACAGTGAAAATGCTTTGTATTAAATTAAGCTGTTCAATTTTTTTTTGGTATATAATTGATAAAAAAGAAGAAATAAGATCTGAAATGTATCTGAAGATCTGAAATTATAAATAACTAATTAAGGATATATATAACGATGTATATCCTTAATTATAATAACTATAACGATAATTTAACATAATCATATATCTTGTATATTTCATTATTTCTGATTTTTATGCTTATGTTCTGTGTATCAGAAATGTTTTATTACAAATCATAATCTAGAATTTTAATGTACATAAAGCAAGGTATCTCTTCTTTCGGTGCATTAATATCATTTCACGTGCAAAAGATTAAGTACAAAACAATTTATTTAATATAAAGTCTGAATAATTGAAAGAATAAATAAATTATAATATCTTTATTTATCGCGATAAATATCAACTTATCTTTTTCAATTTGTGCGTTTTCACTGGATATATTACTAGACTTGTATACTTGAATTAGGACTTGAATTATTTACAGTAATTAGGATTTTTTGTTCTTTTTTGGGGGGGGGGGGAAATTATTAGGACAAATTATTGCAGAACATAAAGTGAATTTTATTGTTTAATAATTTATCTTAATAATTTTCCAAGGAAAGCAGCTTGTTGTGCTCGTACATGAGCACTATTTATATACTTCCTGTATTTTCGAATAATTGACAGTTCGTAGATTAATTGAATCTCTGAAGCTCTTGATATATAAAATTTAAATTCTTGAATATTTAATATCCTCTCGCATCGCCGTCCTCCCTTATCGTATATTCCCTCCTATCGTCTTTATGCCTTAAGATCCTCAAATCTCTCAAGCCTCACGCTCGATCGTCAGGGCGTTCCCCCGTAATTTCCGCAGTCGGGTAAAACATTCATGCACGGCTGAATGCGCGGGGGCGCGGATACGTATATGTATGCACGTGGGTGCACGTTAACTCGGCATGAACCATTCATAAGCAAACCGGGGAATCCTGGACCAGAGCGTAGATCGGAGGGCCACGACGCCGCCGCGCCCGTGGCGACGACAAAGCGTCTAATCCGCATGCCGATTTCCGGGCCGGTAGTTCTGGTCCCCGAGACGCGCCAGCTCCGCCGAATACATCCGTCTTAACGATCGTGGATTATTGAATGCAAATTGATTATCGAGTTTCTCGGACTCCCCGCGGTATCTCGGGGAGGGTTTGCGCGGGATATCCCCGTCGATATATTCACCGCCGCCGACGACGACGACACGGCGGCGGATCGTTTGGAAGTAATCGCTCCTTCGTCGAGTTTCCCGACCGACGGCGACGCTCGCGAGGAGGCGAAATGTAATTTCATTATCGCGGAAACGCACGAAAGGGAAGTGTATTCGGGTTTAGGGTCAGCCTTGAAGTAATCGCTCCCTCATCGGATTTCCAAGAAGGTGAAATGTAATTTTATCGCTATACCATCTGTCAAGGGTATATGCGCGTTCAGGGGCAGTGAAATCGTTTGGAAATAATCGACCGTTCATTAAGTTACCGAGAAAAGGGAGCTCTCGCTTTAGGGTTTTGAAACGAGAAATACACCAGTGTAGGTAGGAATCGTTAAAATTGTGGCAGAGAATAATTGTCTAAAAAGCGATGTTTCATTGAATCGCAGGATTAATTATACAGATTGGAAATTTAATTTCTCAGTTAATTGCTTGATTCATTCGGGAGAGATTTTTATATCTTCTTTTTTTTCACATATAAATCTATATTAATCTCTGAATCGCGAGATATTTTTTGATCTTTATCTTTCGTCCAGATTGTTTAATATTTTACGACGGCTCTTAAATGTTTATATCTTTGATACTTTAGACATTAAGTCAATTTTTATATCATCGTGTCTTCGAGTCCATTAGTACATTGCGAGTATATGTATATATTCGAATATCTCATATATATGTTATACGTGTGTGAAGTATATAGCGATAAATTACGAAATATCGACGTGCCTTTGAGTATAAATCGGTGCCACGACCTCAGTGTGCCCGAACGATCTCATAAAACCGGCACATTCGATTTCATTGCGAGGGAGCTGAGAGTGAAGCAACCCTAGATTGAAATCGATGTTAGCCCTGGACTCGGTGACAGCCTCCGGTACAACGTTCACCGACACGATCGCACGTATCACTCACACCCGCGTGTCCCGCGTACACGACTTGCTCCGCGGAGTGGTAACCGCAACCAGTGCCGGAAGTTATGAATGTTTCATAGAGCACCTTCCGCCGGCCGCAGTTTTGCCGGTTGGTTTTCACGTGCGATTTCGACGCTCGATTAGAGGCGTCGAGCGCTGCGGTGGCAATCGGCGTGTCGCGTCGCGTTTGTGTACCGATGACGCAATTTCCGCGAGA